TGTGCAGGACGAATTTTCTTAACCTAAAGCCAAATTAAAATGGCATAAATCATTTCACAGCATAAATCTATGTATGTATTTTGACTAAATGTGTGAGTATGGAAGAGAATTAGGGCCACTGGAAAAAAAAAAGTTACCTGATTTTTAAATTTTATTTCAGTTTAACATGGGGAAAAAAGTCAGAATTCTGACTTTTTTCTCGTCAGAATTCTGACTGAATTCTGACAATAAAAAAAGTCAGAATTCTGAGAAAAAAGTCAGAATTCTGAGATTAACGTCAGAATTCTCAGAAAAAAGTCAGAATTATGACTTTTTTCTGAGAATTCTGATTTTTTTTCCCATACTAAACTGAAATAAAATGTAAAAATCAGTAAACTTGGCCCTAATCCTCTTCCGTATGTGAGAGCCACTAATTTATTTAAAACTTTTAACTGAACAATGCTGCTTTTTACATGATATGGAAGGGGGCAGACTTTTAATGTAAAAACTGATAACAAAATGTATTATATATGTTCATTTGTTTGGCCTCTACATAATTATATATACAGAACTTCATTTTACTTACCAATGAAATGCAAATATACTTAGAAGTATTTAAAAAAAATTTTTTTTTTACAGTCTTGGTATAGTAAACCACTCCCATTCCTGCAAAGTTTACTAAACCATTTTTGTACTCAGATGTGAATAGTAACTAGTTACATTTACTCAGTTAAATCTACTTGAGTAACCTTTTAGAAAAAAATTACTTTTACAAGTAGTTTTACAACATTTTACTTTTACTTGAGTAAAAACATAAAGTATCACTACTCTTGGGTAAATTTTCATGTCACTCCATCCATTTTGAGTAACTTCACTTAACTAAAAGAATTTTTTTTTAAATAAATATGCAACGTTGTTTAAACACGTTCTGCTTTTTATTACTTAAGGATTATGTGTTAGATAAAAAAATCAAAAAAAGCTGTCACATGTGGAAAAAATCAAAAAAAGCTGTCACATGTGGATGCACTCTATATACTGTATGTATCCCAACAACCTTTTTCTTCCTTTGGCACATTTTTCTCCTTTGACTATTTAAGCTGATGTAACAAGTACATTTCTCTACTTGGTGATCAATAAACTTTGATCGATCAATCAATAAGTCAATCAAATCTGCTGTGTGATCTGGAGGTTAAATAAAAATACAATAAACTGTATACTGTAATTCAG